TCAGTTAGTCAGGAATTTGTATTTCTTTCCCTTTTCCTGCAAAGGGAGATAGATGCCTTTGCAATGGACAAGTGCTACGAAAATTAAAACAGTACTCAAATTTTATTTAATTTCATATACAGCAAATAAGACAGAAAATCTTGCCGATTCTAGAACCCAACTCCCCAATACTAAAAGGCAGTAAGCAGCAATAATGTTAGTACATTGCATTCTACCTTCTTTTTATTTAATGAGAAAGGTTAAATTGGTTATGATTAGAATCACCAATTGTGTTTTGCACATCTGTACATTCAGGGCTGCTCATTAATATGCACATACATGCGCGCACATGAACACACACACACACACACACACACGCCTTTATAAACAGATACAATATACATGCATTTTGCAGAGTATCAGGCTCATGTTGCATGTGATGGTAAATGTTTCATTCCACGTCTTTGAAACATTTAGGGCCGTCACCAACAGAATACAATAGCTAAAGGCATACCTCTTTTTACAATTTTTAATGTAAGAAAAGCAGGTGAAACAGTATATTTTGTGTCTCAATAACATAAAGATTTTAAATAGAAATTGGTTGTTTAAATCAATTATTTCCTTAAGGCTATTTATCTGTTGGCCAGCAGCTCCAGAGCAATAAAATGGAAAAAAAAAATTAACTAATCATGGTTATTCTAAACAATAATATTAGCGTATTGAAATATTGCATCAAAGAACAAAAAACTGCCAAAATTACCTTTCAAAAATCGCATCCAGTACATCATGGTATCAAACAGATATTTGCTACTACAAGCAGGATGTGAAGCAGTTAACTGGAAATTGGTTTTTCAAAAGGTCATAATAAATATATAATGATTTTTTCCTCACTCCGATAAAAAATAAATACTTCTAACAATTCCTAACACAGAGAAATAAATGTCTAATGTATCTAAAAGCCAGCTTGCTGTGCCTTTTTTCCTTCTGAAAACTAAATGTTTAAACAGCCTATTGTTTAAAACAAAGGAGACAAAGCAAATCTTTGAAAATTACGAGGGATTATACATACACAGATTCATTACCTAATGGTTTCTAGCAACCCCTTACCTCAGAAAATTCAAAAGAGAAAATATTAACTCCTTGAATGTATACTATCTGTGTAAAGGGATGAAGGGGAAAACTAAAATGTTTAGAGAAATCATCTGTAAACAATAGACACATATGTTTTCAGTCAGTCCAGGATTCAAAATATTTGTTTTGATTATTCAGCCACTCACTACTATAACCATTGTTCAGTACTTAAGCCATTTTAAAATGTCTTTTAGTCTGAAATTAAGCTTTTTGGAGTACCGAAGGGTGTACGTAGGAATTTATTTTAATCCTATCATTTAAAGCATGCTCAAAGATTCAGCAATTCATAATAAAATATGTTTTTGAGGAAGGAAAATGTTCCTCAGTAAAAGCGAAACATGTTATTATTACCTTTTAACATAATTCACACATTAATGCATAAGCCTGTGTTTTATTTTTCAAATCAAAAGAATTAAATGAAGCATGATACTTCCTGTTTCTGATCAATGGAATTAAAATGCAAAACAGGCTTTAAAAAAAGATTTTATAAGGTAGATCATTTTAATTAAATTTTAAAAAATGACATTAAGCAATTCTGCTTGTCTAAATCAAGAGACTAAGAAAACCTTAAAATGTGGGGAACACATACAAAGTAACAAGCACACAAATCAATACCATTTATACATGATGTTAAAAAATAAATAATGTGTAATGCAATACAGAGAATGAGGTTTAGACTAAATCACTCCAACGTCTCATATAAATTCAACATACACTTTCATGGCACATTGTAGGATTGTTTTTCTTGTCAAAAGACCAAACGATTGAAAATGTTGTGATCAAAATATTTAACCATCTTTCAGATTAAAGGCAGCCTTCAGAGCTGATCAAAATAGAATGAAAAGCAATTCAGGTTACAGGCGATCGCCCCAAAGTGAATGGGATTTTTCTTTTAATCGATGGTTTGCCAAATTCCTCTTACTGTCATCTATCTAAAGCTACCTGCCAATTATTTCAGCTTCCTCTAAGAATGTGTAACCTTGCCTGGGCGAGCAAAAGTGCTCCGTTATTATTTGTGGCGAGAATTTTTGTGACTGTACTGCTCAGCAATTCTATTTACATCAGCAATGCTAAATGCCCAATGGTGAGAGAGGAGCCAATCAGATGGCAGATTAGATGTCAACTCAGGCAGCTGTCTGGAGACTATTACAGCCAGTTTACCTCCACAATTCAAATTCCAAACCTTGCAAAGAAGATCAAGTCACTCTTTACGCTCAGGCTGCGGAGAAAGACACAGCCACATCGCTCCTGATTCTGCCCGATTTTCCCCGCGTTTCAAAGGCGACACAAAGGCAACTTTGACCAACAATGGACAATCCCCACCCCACACCTATCGATCAGATCACTTGTTGGATTAATAACACGAATTGGAAATTGTCGGTCTCCTAAAACACTGAAGGAATAGTCGCAGGCCTTGTCAGTTAAGACAAAAAACACAGAAGAGGGCGAATTGCAATGTGTTTCTCATTACATTTCATATGCTTTTCGGCTCCTCTTTTCTAAAATATAGGTTAAGAAGACATGAGAAAAAGCGGAGGAAAAAAGAGAAGGACATCTAAAGAACTAGGGCACAACAAAGCTTCTCTCTCTCTCTCTTTCACTGCTACACAACCCTCCAAGGAGACTTACACACTTTTCTTGCTGCCTTTCAGGATCCAATTCCTCCCAGTTTTCTCAAAAGCACACAGATCTTTGTTGTTGTGTAGTGATTGAGAGGAAGAAGGGGGAAGAAGGACCTCCAGCCCAGCCTGGAAAGGCTCTCCTCCTCCTCCCTTGCCCTGCTCCGAAGGGCCTTTTCCTCTGGGCCTGGTGTGTGTGTGTGTGTTCGGGTTCCTAATAAGCCTGGAGGAGGAACATGGGTGGGGTGTGTGGGTCTGGTGTATTGTCACACACACAGAAAAGGCCTGGTTTTCGAAGGAGGGAAAAAACAAAAGCCACTCCACCACCACAGGCCACCCTCTGACCTAATAAAGAGTGGAGACACTGAGGGCCCTTCCACACAGCCCTATATCTCAGAATATCAAGGCAGAAAATCCCACAATATCTGCTTTGAATATGGCAATGTGGACTCAAATAACCCAGTTCAACGCAGATATTGTGGGATTTTCTGCCTTGATATTCTGGGGGACCTTCCACACCGCCATAAGATCCAGAATATCAAGGCAGAATAACCCACAATATCTGCTTTGAACTGGAATATCTGAGTCCACACTGCCATATATCCCGGTTCAAAGCAGATAACATTTTATTTTATACAGCTGTGTGGAAGGGGCCTGGGATATAGGTCTGTGTGTAAGGGTTCTTAGTGTGGGTCTGGGGGACCTTTTACACAGCCCTATATCCCAGAATATCAAGGCAGAAAATCACACAATATCTGCTTTGAATGAAGACAGGCCCTATCTCCCAGGATCTGATCCCAGGTTTTCTGCTTTAAACTGGATTATGTGAGTCCACACTGCCAGGTAATCTGGGATAAACAGAAAACCTGGGATATAGGGCCTATATCCCAGAATATCATGGCAGAAAATCCCACATTATCTGAGTGTGGACTCACACAACCCAGTTCAAAGCAGATATTGTGGGATTTTCTGCCTTGATATTATGAGATACAGGGCTATATGGAAGGGCCCTCACACAACCCAGTTCAAAGCAGATAATTGTGGGGGTTTCTTGATATTCTGGGATATAGGGCTGTGTTTCCATAARGCCCTGAGTGTGGGTCTGGGTGGATATGGGGTGAAAGGGTTGCCACAYRCAAAAAGCTGTTTTCCATGAAGGAAACCACCCCAGCCCAACCCTCTGTGGCCTGAAAGGGGCCGAGACAGTGTCCCTCACTTGGGGGGGGGGGGAGGCTTCCACACAGCCCTATATCCCAGAATATCAAGGCAGGAAATCCTGCAATATCTCTTTTGAACTGGAATACATGGCAATGTGAACTGGGGGCTCTTCAACAGAGCCCTATATCTCAGAATACCATGGCAGAAAATCCCACAATATCTGCTTTGAACTGGGTTATCTGAGTCCACACTGCCCTATATTCCAGTTCAGAGCTGATATTGGGGGATTTTCTGCCTTGATATTCTGGGATATAGGGCAGTGTGGAAGGGCCCCAAATGTGAGTCTGGGTAGATATGTGCTGCAAAGATTGCCACAAACAAAAAGCTGTGTGGAAATAATGTGGGACTTTCTGCCTTGATATTCTGGGATATAGGGCTGTGTTTCCACAGGGCCCCGAGTGTGGGTCTGGGTAGGTATGTGGTTCAAGGGTTGCCACACACACAAAGCTGTGGGGCTGTGGAAATAATGTGGGACTTTCTGCCTTTATATTCTGGGATATAGAGCAGCGTGGAAGGGCCCAGAGTGTGGGTCTGCGTAGGTATATGATGCAAGGGTTGCCACACACACAAAGCTGTGGGGCTGTGGAAAGACCCCAAGTGTGAATCTGGGGAGGTATATGGTGCAAAGATTGCCACACACACAAGGCTGTGGGGCTGTGGAAATAATGTGGGACTTTCTGCCTCAATATTCTGGGATATAGGGCTGTGTGGAAGGATCCAGAGTGTGGGTCTGGGTAGGTATGTGGTGCAAGGGTTGCCACACACACAAAACTGTGGGGCTGTGGAAATAATGTGGGACTTTCTGCCTCGATAATCTGGGATATGGGGCTGTGTTTCCACAGGGCCCTGAGCGTGTGTCTGGGTGGAGAGGTGGTGCAAGGCTTGCCTCACACAAAAAGCTCTTGTTTTCCACGAAGGGAGCCAGCCCAGCCCAGCTCTCTGTGGCCTGAAAGAGGCTGAGACAGTGTCCCTCGCTAAGCCAGGCGTGGAAAGTCAAAAGGGGAAGAAGGAAGGAGGGAGAGAGAAGAGGGAGAGGCGGAGGGGAATGCTTACCTGGCTCCTGCCGAGGGCCTGTGCGGCGGCGGCGGCGGCGGCGGTGCTGGCCCCGGGGCTCATGGCCGGGTGTCCCCGCTGTGGCGCGGCGGCGGGGGCCCAGGCCGGGCTGGCGTTGGCGCTGCTGGCCCCGAACGGGCCCCCGTCCTTGCCCGCCAGCCCCGCCGAGGAGGAGGAAGAAGAAGAAGAAGAGGCGGAGGCGGCGGCTTGGGTGGAGGGGGGCTGGGGCTGCGGGGCCGCCGGGGCCGGGTGCCCGTACTCGGGGTACCCGCTGCTGCCCCCGTAGCTCCGCATCATGGGGCTGGGCGAAGTCAGGAGCTGGTTCAAGGTCGGCGTGGCTCCCGAGGGGTGCTGCTGCTGCTGCTGCTGCGCCGGGCCCGGGAAGCGCTGGAAGCCCTTACTGCCGCCTCCTCCTCCGCCTCCGCTTGGGCCCAGCATCATGCCCTGCGGAGGGAGCTGCCTGGGGGAGCCCAGCACCCCGAAGGCCGAGGACGGGCTGTTCCCATAGCTGCTTCCTCCTCCTCCGCTTCCTCCTCCTGCTCCAGCTCCAGGCCTCCCGTAGGCGTAGTGGTTGTAGTGCCCGTGGGCGAAGGCGTCGTGGGAGTGGGGCGCGGGCTCCATGCTGAGAGGCCCCCCTGTCGCTCCTGCTGCCGCCGTTGCCGTTGCCGCGGGGAGCATTAGCCCCATCCCGGGGCTTTGTTGTCCGCCATGTTGATCAAAGCAAGGCCCGGCCCGGCTGGCGGAGGAGGAGGAGGAAGAGGAGGAGGAGGAGGAAGAAGAGGAGGCGCTGTTGCCGTTGTTGTTGTTGCTCCCGCTGTAATAGCTATTAAACTCCGAGGCGGCGGAGGGGCCTCCACTATTGCCACCACCACTACTACTACTACTTCCTCCTCCTGGTCCCATTTTCTCCGCGTCTCCTTCCTCCCCTCCTTTCTTCAAGGCCCTCGCCGCCTTCCCCGTGGCCGCCCCGGCCTGGTTGGGGGCCCCCAAAGCGCCTTCGTGGCCTCCATGTTGCTGCTCTTGAGGCGGCTCCATGTCTGCGCTGCCAGGCTGAGCAGCGCCTCCGCCGTTGCTGTTGTGACTCTGTTGTTGCTGCTGCTGCTGCTGCGGTTGGAAGGGGCTCCTGTGCAAGGCCTGCCGGAGCTGGAAGGGCAGCGAGGCCGCGTGAGCGTGGAGGTGGTCGCCCCCGACGCCTTTCAGCTTGTGGTTGGGCGCCAGGCCGGCCTCCATCGCCGCGAACAAGCCGGGGGACTCTTTGAGAAGCGCCTCCGAGGGAGAAGAGCCGCCGCCACCACCGCCACCACCGATGATGTTGCTTGCGTTGTGATTCGAAGGAGGAGAAGGAGTTGCATTATTGGCCGCGCTCAGCTCATGATGGTGGAGGCGGCGGTGGAGGAGGTGGTGGTGGTGCTGGTGTTGGAGCTCCACGTTGTTTAAGCCTCCGCTCTTGTTGTTGCTGTTCGTCCCATCTGCGCCCAGAGAGTCCTGGCTTAAGCTGCTGCTGTTGTTGCTGCTTCCCGGCAAAGTGGGGCTCTTGCTGCCTCGGTTGTTCTCCCTCGCCGCCACTTGCGCGGCCATGATCAAGGCAACATGGCTCACTCCGGGAGCAAATAGTCATAAATAAGGATGCAGAAAAGAAAGAAAAAGGGGGAAACCCCAAGAGGAGAGGGAAACACAACCCCCACAATAAGTGGAACTCCGGATTGTTTGCCAACCCACCCACAAAAACCCCAAAATAATAGATTGGTTATTCCATATTGAGTTCAACTCCCCTCCTTGGCTGAGTCCTTGCTTAATTAAGGACGCCTGTGGTGGGCTCTCACGAGGAAAGTTATTTTGGGAGGGGGTTTTGAGGGGGAGTCAATAAAACTTTTCCTTTCTTTCTCTCTCTTTTCGTCCTTTCTCTCTCCTTCTTTCCTTTCTCTCTTTCTTTCTTTCTCTTTCTTCCTCTTTCTTTCTTTCTCTTTCTGTCTTTTTTTCTCCGCTTTGAACCCGGATATGGGTAAATATAACTAAATACACGTCTGGCTGAGCCGATCTGGCCCAGCGTGCATGGCAGGAAGGACAGAGAGAGAGAGAGAAAAGGAGCTCCAACCACTACGATCCACTTCTGCTGAGAGACTGGGCCGCATGGAAAACGCGGAGTGGATTCCGATCCCGGATTCTGCGGAGGAGGAGGAGAGGAAGGGAAAGCCCGCCTGGCCTCTAGCGCTGAGCTCGGCAGAAACGAGGAAACATGAGGCTTTTAGACTCTTCCACATAGAACAGGGAAGGGTCCCCTTTTTAAACAGAGGGCCAGGTCAGTCCCACAAACTGTTGGAGGGCCGGATTATAATATGAAAAAAAGAAGAATTCCTATGCACACTGCATATATCTTATTTGTAGTGCAAAAAACACTTTAAAACAATGCAATAATTAAAATGGCGCAGTGGGTTAAAGCCCTGAGCTGCTGAGCTTGTTGATTGAAAGGTCACAGGTTCAAATCCGGGGAGCGGAGTGAGCTTCTGCTGTCAGCCCCAGCATCTGACAACGTAGCAGTTCGAAAACAGGCAAATGTGAGTGGTTCAATAGGTACCGCACCAGTGGGAAGGTAACGGCGCTCCATGCAGTCATGCCAGCCACATGACCTTGGAGGTGTCTATGGACAATGCCGGCTCTTCGGCTTAGAAATAGAGATGAGCACCACACCCGTCAGCCCCAGCTTCTGCTAACCTAGCAGTTTGAAAACATGCAAATGTGAGTAGATCAATATGTACCACTCTGGCAGGAAGGTAACGGCGCTCCTTGCAGTCATGCTGGCCACATGACCTTGGAGGTGTCTATGGACAACGCCGGCTCTTCGGCTTAGAAATGGAGATGAGCACCACACCCCAGAGTCAGACACGACTGGACTTAATGTCAGGGCAAAACCTTTACCTTTACCTTAACTAAAATGAAGAACAAATTTAACAAATATAAACTTATGAGTATTTCAATGGGAAGTGTGTGTCTGCTTTTGGCTGATGAGATAGGATTGTTGTGTGCTTTCAAGTCATTTCAGAGTTAGGTTGACCCTGATCGAGGGCCGGGTAAATAACCTTGGAGGGCCATATCCAGCCCTTGGGCCTTAGTTTGGGGACTCCTGACATAGATGAATAAAATTCCACATTATCTGCTTTGAATCAGAATATATGGCAGTGTGGACTCGGGGACCTTCCACACAGCCCTATATCCCAGAATATCAAGACAGAAAATCACACAATATCTGCTTTTAACTGGGTTATCTGAGTCTGCACTGCTATATATTCCAGCTCAAAGCAGATATTGTGGGATTTTCTGTCTTGATATTCTGGGATATAGGACTGCGTGGAAGAATCCCATGTCAGACTACACAGAGAAGCCACTGAAATCCACAAGCATGTGGACAATTTTAACAAAAAAGAGGTAACTATGAACAAAATCTGGCTACCAGTATTTTAAAAACTCAAAATCAAGACAGTAAATAAAGTGCAACACTCAGAAAACAGATAGGAAACAATCAGGGCCACCTAATCACCTCCCAACAAAGGATTCCACCTGGCAGGAAGCAGCTAGGCTTTGAAGCTGCAAAGCTATTTCATGCAACTCAAGGCGGCCAATTGCAACATTCACACTTGCCTCAAACAGACAAGAGTTCTTTCTCCGCCCCGCCCCCTCCCCCGGCATTCCACAGATATATATAAACCCCATTTTCCTAGTTTCCAGCAGACCTCACAACCTCTGAGAATGACTGGCACAGATGTAGATGAAATATCAGGAGAGAATGCTTCTGGAACATGGCCATACTGCCCAGAAAACTCACAGCAACCCAGTGATTCTGGCCACAAAAGCCTTCAACAACACAGGCTTTACAACTGTTTTGTATTGTGTGTCACTTCCTTTTAATCCTTTATTACACCTCGACCATTTGTGTCCATTGAGCTCCTTCTCACACACACTTCCAAAGCACCAATACACTAAATTGACCTATCAGAGTTAGTTTTTGGAATGACCTAAAAGGGTCCTCTTCATCAATCACACGATCACATTTTAAAGAAGCCATTTAGGTGGACATGAGAAAAATACCTTTATTCTCATTATGTGCAGGATACCACACAGTTAAAAGGCATAGATTGAAAAGACCAGCAAAACACATACATATTAAAACACATAAGATTATAAACACTCATAAGCAAAAGATGACAGTGCCCAACAAACATTTTAGTATCTCCAATGTTAGTCCTGTTTCTGGGTGTATTTCACCTGCTGGTTCCAAAAATGGCACCCGTTCTCCCCTATCAGCTTTAGTTTTTTCAGATACAGAACATATGCCATCTACTAGTTGCCATCTGCTCACCCATAAAATATCAGGATCTTTTAATGTGGTGTTTAAATTAATATCTTTCAAGCACAAAGAAAACATATTAAACATTAAAAGAAAAGTGTGCTGCATAAGAATCTACGTATTTCATACCAAAAGCACAGATTTATGATACAAACTTTCCACACACGTGTTGTCAAAGGCTTTCATGGCCAGAATCACTGCATTGCTGTGAGTTTTCCGGGCTGTATGGCCATGTTCCAGAAGCATTCTCTCCTGATGTTTGGCTCACATATGTGGCAGGCATCCTCAGAGGTTGTGAGGTAATTCCATACAGGAAGCAATCAGGGCCAGCTAACGTCTCAACAAAGAATTCCCCCAGGCAGCAACCAGCCAGGCTTTGAAGCTGCAAGCCCATTCAATGCTAATCAAGGTGGCCAATGCTGACTGACAGCAATTCTCTCAGTTCTTTCTGACCTCTGTCTAGAAATGTTACAGACTGAACTCTAAACCCTTTGCACATTAACTACGTACTCCACCACTACTCTTATTAAGTGTAAGTTCTGTTAAAATGATTGAATCAGTCCTAAAATGTTTATTTGGAAGACTAACAGGCTATTCCATCAAATTGTTCTATCCAAGTAGCACACCGTGCACTAACCACACAAATGGAATTCGCACAGAATCAGACTTGTGAAATGTACCATTTGATGAAGATAAACTACACAAACTCAAATATCAACTATGTTGATGTACTCAAAGGTTTAGTCCATTAATTAACTGATACATTGATTTAAAAACAAGACAGCTATTTGACTAAAAAGCCCTCATTAACTGGCATCGCTTGAAAACAATGTTCATCTGGAACTTTACCCTCAGAAATATTATTGTCCATTTCATGTTAGCAGCATTGCTTTAAAGAGTATGTGAGGATGCATTTTAATAACTGCAGTATCATAGTCTCTGCTATTTCCCCACATGCAAATGTTTTTATAAAAATTGTGTGTATGTGTGTAAGAGAGACTAAGAATACAGTAGAACCGCTATATGTGTGGGACTAATATCTGCTGTTTAATTTATCCACATTTAACAAAATACCATATGTCCTTTCTAGCCATTTTCTTAGTCCTCCAGCATGTCATCGTGATTAGGTATTTCATTTATTTGTTTGTTTGTTTTAGGGCATTTATATCCCGTCCTATCTCACCTCCACAGAGGGACTCAGGGCAGGTAACAACCGGCACAGCATAGTGCCTGCCCACAATAAGAAAAGCATTTGTTGTTCATTCGTTCAGTTGTTTCCGACTCTTCGTGCCTTCATGGACCAGCCCACGCCAGAGCTCCCTGTCGGTTGTCACCACCCCCAGCTCCTTCAAGAAAAGCATAAATATACATAATATAATAAAACAGTATAAAAACAATATAAAAATATTAAGTACAATAACGAATTTAGTGATAATCCTAAAAACAGTCCATCATAGTCCATTAAAACCATAACTTCGCCAGTCAGTCTAGTCAGCAAAGGCCCGATCCCACAGCCAGGATTTCACTTTTTTTCAGAAGGACAGGAGAGATGGAGCAGATCTGATTTCGTTTGGGAGGAAATTCCTTAGCCAAGGGACCACCATGGAGAAGGCCCTGTCTCTCGTCCCCACCAAGTGTGATTGTGATGGTGGGGGGACAGAGCAGGGCCTGCCCTGATGATCTTAAGGTCCTAGATGACTCGTAGCAGGAGATACGTTCGGACAGGTAAACTGGGCCAGAACCGTTAAGGGCTTTATAGGCCAAAGCCAGCACTTTTGTGCTCAGAAGCTAATAGGCAGCCAGTGGAGCTGCCGTAGCAAGGGCATGTGAGCTCTCGGTACCCCATCCCATGAGCAACCTGGGTTCCAAGTGATAGACTAACTGAAGCTTCCAAACAGTCTTCAGAGTCAACCCCACGTACAGTGCATTGCAGTAGTCTATTTGGGATGTAACCGGAGTGTGGACCACCGTGATCAAGTCTGACCTCCCAAGATATGGGCGCAGTAGGCGCACAAGTTTTAATTGTGTGAAAGCTCCCCTGGCCACTGCTGAAACCTGGGGTTCCAGGCTCAGCGATGAGTCCAGGATCACTCCCAAACTGGAAACCTGTGCCTTCGGGAGAGTGTAACCCCATCAAGCACAGGCTGTAACCCTATACCCTATAATGCTATTCATTAAATTATGTCTGTATGTATGTACTTGTTGGCATTGAATATTTGCCGTTTATGTTCTCAGCTGCTCTGAGTTCCATACTGAGAGATGAGGTGAGATATAAAGTTTCATTAGTATTATATTCTTGGACGGGAAGTCCTTAATTTAAATGAGATTTGCTATCTTCCCACTGTTTCATGTATCCAGATGAAGTCCAGGAGCATATTCATTATGGATACAGGCGTCATACTAATACCACAATCTATTAAATAAACTAGGAAGTAAAATAATCCAACACAATATTTATAGTACATTCAAGCATATGTTAGAAGTAGGTAAATGATACTTTTATCATAAAGTAGTTGTCCCCAGCCATGTGTTGCTGTGGCCCAGTCTGGTTAAATGGAAAAGGAAGAGAAGAGAAAGAACAGGTTACTAATATATTTAATTTCACAATGCTTGTGAGTATGCAATATTTTTTGTTGTTCCATTTTCTGTGCAGAGATAGAGATTGTGTGGTTTTCCAACTCTAGAACGTGCAACATATAATTGTCCATGTGAGAAGCAATCCATGTCTAGATCTGGACCACACAATTCTAAAGATTGGCCCTTAGCTTTGTTGATGGTGATTGCAAACGCCAATCGAATAGGGAATTGCAATCTCTTAAATTGAAATAGCATATCTGTTGGAATAATAGGATTGGGAGGAATGAGGAATCTTCAAGACGGA